GGGCGACACATCCCATTTAATGGTGGGAGGAGCAGGGTTCTTCCTCGAGCGAGCGTCCAGAGGCAACGATAGAGAGGTAAAGGCTCATGGGGGAACGCATCGACCCCGAATCGCTAATGTCCAGTACTTGTTAAAACAATACTGACCCCCTATCCCCTGGGATTCCGAGTGTCACTGATTCGCCGCCAGCTAAGTATTGTCTAAGTTGTTTCCTTGTCAAGATATTCGACGGGGAGCGAACAGACGTGTCGAGTGGTAACATATACACGCACGCGCATGCATTGACAAATGACTTCGGACTTCTTACGTGCAGATGTATATGCTGCTCCGGTCGAAGAATGCATAGTTCTCGTCTTACTGGAACAATGTACGTGTGTACGTTTCCCACACAGCAGGGGCCATGGCGGCCGCGTGCGCGGCGGCTTTGCCCCTCGCACAGCATTACGTTTTGCAGCGCAGTGTGCCAGGGCAGCCACGCGCGGCGGTCCTCGCCCTTCGCGCAAAGGCCGCCGCGCGCGGCGGCCTGGCCCCTTCGCGACTTTTTATGTCTTTCCATACTAGATGCGTGCGGGCCGCCGCGCGCGCGTCGGCCCATGTCCCATCGCGCACTGTGCCCTTCCATGCGGGATGCCCCTGGGCTCCCGCGCGCGCGGCGGCCCATGCCCTTAGCGCGTGGTGCGTCCCATGCAACATGCGCGTGGGCTGCCGCGAGCGCGGCCGCCTATTGCCGTTCACGCGTTGTTTTTCTTCCATGCGGGATGCGCCCAGGCCGCCGCGCGCGCGGCGGTCCTGGCCCATCGTTTGTTGTGTTTTTCCATGCAAGATGCGCGTGGGCCGTTGCGCGCGCCGCGGCCCATAGCCCTTCATGCATGTTGTCTTTCCATGCGAGATGCGCGTGGACCGCCCCGCGCGGCGGCGGCCTTCGCCCCGCGCGCGCGGTGCTTTTTGTATGCAAGATGCGCGTTGGCCGCCGTGCGCGCGGCGATCCATGGCCCCTCGCGCATTCTTTTTTTCCATGCACGATGCGCGTGGGCCCTCACGCATGGTGTTATTCCGTGCAGGATGCGCGTGGGCCGCCGCGCGCGCGGCGGCCCATTGCCAGTCCCCGTTTGTTTCTTCCATGCGTGATGCGCGTGGGCCGCAGCAGGCCCGTGGGTCGCCACGCGCGCGGCGGCCCATGGCCCCTCGCGCATCGTGGATTTTCTTTGCAAGGTGCTCGTGGGCCCTCGTGCGTTGTTGTTGCCGTGCAAGATGCGCGTGGGCCGCCGCGCGCGCGGCGGCCAGGTTTCCCGTGCACTGTTTGTTATTATGCAAGGTGCGCGTGGACCGCCGCGCACGCCGCGGTCCATGGTCCCTCGCGCGTTGTAGTTTGTCTTTGCCCATGTAAGATGCGCGCGGGCCGCCGCGCGCGCGACGGCCCTTTGCCCTTCGCGCGTAGCCCTTATTTATTTATTTATATATACATATGTATATATATGCATGAATAAATGAAACGATGCGCGCGGGCGCGCGCGCGCTGCCCTTGCCCCTCGCCCGCTGTGTTTTTTCCATGCAGGATGCGGGTGGGCCGCCGCGGCGTGCGCGGCGGCCCATGGTCGCTCGGGCGCCCCCCCCCCCCCCCCCCCCTCCGCGATGCGCGTGGGCCGCCACGCGCGCGGCGGCCCAGTGCCATTCGCGCGTTGCGTTGTTCCGCACAAGACGTGCGTGGGCTGCCGCGCGCTCGGCTGCCCATCGCCCCATCGCGCGTGTTTTTTTGTTTGTTTTTTTATATATTATTATTATTGTTCCATGCCCGTCGTGTTTGTCCATTCTAGATGTGCGTGGGCCGCCGCGCGCGCGGCGGCCCATGGCTCCTCGCGCGTTGTGTTTGCCCATGCAAGATGCGCGTGGGCCGCCGCGCGCGCGGCGGCCCTGGCCTGGTCTCTCGCGCGGTGTTGTTTTTCTCCGCGCAGAATGCGCGCGGGCCGCCGCGCGCGCGGCGGCCCTGTGCCGCTCGCTCATTCTGCACCTTTTCCTTGCGCGGTGCGCGTGGGCCATCGCTCGCGCAGCGGCCCATGACCCCACGCGCACTGTGTGTTTTCGGCGCGAGATGCGCACGGGCCGCCGCGCGCGCGGCGGCCCTGGCCCCTCGCGCGCTGAGTTCTTCAATGCAGGATGCGCGGGGGCCGCCGCGCGCGGCCATCCATTGCCCCTGGCGCATTGCGTTGTGTTGTGCAATGCAAGATGCGCGTAGGCCGGCGCACGCGCGGCTGCCCACGGCTCGTCGCGCATGTCTTTCACGCATAATGTGCGTGGGCCGCCGCGCGTGCGGCGGCCCATAGCCACTCGCGAATTGTGCTTGTCCCTGCAGGGTGCGCCCTCGCGCGTGGTGTTTGTTTTTGCATATAAGATGCGCGTTGGCCGCCGCGCGCGCGGCGGCCCTGGCCCCGCGCGCGCGCTCGGCAGTCCGTGGCCCCTCACGCATGGTGTTATTCCAGGCAAGGTGCGGGTGGGCCGCCGCGCGCGCGGCCGTGCGCGCGCGGGTGCGCGTGCGCTTGCGTGTGCGCGTGCGTGTGCGTGTGCGTGTGCCTGAGCGCGTGCGTGTGCCTGTGTCTGTGCCTGCGTGTGCGCGTGCGTGTGCGCGTGCGTGCGCGTGCGCGCGTGCGCGTGCGTGTGCGCGTGCGCGTGCGTGTGCGCTTGCTTGCGTGTGTGTGTGTGCGTGTTCGTATGCGTGTGCGTGTGCGTGTGCGTTTGCGTGTGCGCGTGCGTCTGCGCGTTCGCATGCGTGGGCGTGGGCGCGGGCGTCTTCGTGTGCGAATGCGTGTGCGTGGGCTTGTCTCGCGCGTGTGCGCGTGCGCGTGCGTGTCCGTGCGCGTGTGTGTGCGTGTGCGTGCGTGCGTGTGCGCGTGCGTGTGCGTGTGTGTGTGTGACGTGCGCGTGCGTGTTCGTGTGCGCGTGCGTGTGCGCGTGCGCGTGCGCGTGCGTGTGCGCGTGCGTGTGCGTGTGCGTGCGGGCGGGCGTGGGCGTGCGCGTGGGCGTGGGCGCGTGCGCGGGCATGTGCGCGGGCGCGTGCGAGCGTGCGCGCGCGTGTGCGCGGGTGCGTGCGCGCGCGCGTGTGTGCGTGAATTCGCGTGCGCGCGTGTGCGCGCGTGCTGGTTCCTGGGTTGGTTGGCCGCTGCCCGCCGCTATCTTCTCGCCGGCCTGGTTAGTGGCCTCGTCCTTGTCGCTGTCCCTGCGCGCTCCGCAGGTCACATGTGACCTCGGCACCCCGGCTTCCCGCTGCCCGCTGCATTCGCCCCCGTCGGCCTTCCCTAGTATGCCTCGTAGGTCACCCTGACCTCGGCACTCTTGGCCTCCTCGCTGTGCTGTTTCCACTTCCAGCTCGCGCTGGACCTGTCGCGCCCCCCCGTGGGCGTTTTCCCTGCCTGCCGCCTCGGCTGCCTACCCCCCCCCCCGGTTGCTGCCCCGCTGCTGCTGCTGGCCCCCGGCCCCGGCGCCCCCCGCCGCCGCCTGGGCCCGCTCTGACTTGGCCCGGTTTCCGTCTCCTTCCCGCCCGCGCCAGGCCTTCCTCCTCTTTCCGCGCGCATCGTCGCTTGATTCGCTTTTGTTTCTCCTACATATGCTTGTTTCCGCCAGGCTATCATTCTGGCTGGCCGCAAACGCAAAAAAATGCGTATGTGCGTGCGCGTGCGCGTGCGCGTGCGCGTGCGCGTGCGCGTGCGCGTGCGCGCGCGCGTGCGTGCGTGTGTGTGTGTGTGTTTGTGTGTGTGTGTGTGTGAGTGTGTGTGTGTGTGTGTGCGTGTGTGTGTGTGTGTGAGAGAGAGTGCGTGTTGTGTGTGGGTGTGTGTACGTGCGTGCGTGTGTGTGTGTGTGTGTGTGTTTGTGCGTGTGTGTGTTGTGTGTTGTGTGTATGTGCGTTGTGCTTGTTTTGTGCGTTGTGCGTGTTTTGTGTTATGTGTGTTGTGTTTATTGCGTTGTGTGTTTTGTGAGTGTTGTGAATGTTGTGTGTTGCGTGTGTGTTTTGTATGTTGTGTGTTGTGTGTGTGTTGTTTGTGCGGCGTTTGTGTGTTGTGTGTGTGTTGTCATTGTTGTGTGTGTGTGTTGTTTGTATGTGTGTTGTGTGTAAGTTGTGTGTTGATTGTGCGTGCGTGTGCGTGTGTATGTGTATGTGTATGTGTGTGCGTGTGCGTGTGCGTGTGCGCGCGTGTGTGTAGTGTGTTTGCGCGCCGCCGGCTTGCCGCTGCTGGTCCCCGCCCCCGGGTGTTGCCCTTACCGCGCGCTTGGCCCCGCTCTGAGTGGGCCCAGCTTCCTCCTCCCTTCCGCCGCCGCCAGGCGTCTCCTTTTTCCTCCTCCTGCATGGTGGTTGAATTCGCGCCCGTACATTTACCAACGCTTCATCGCCAGCGCAGTGGCTCTGCCTAGCCGCTGACGAAAAACAGTGCGTGTGCGTGCGTGCGTGCGTGCGTGTGTGTGTGTGTGCGTGTGTGTTTGTGTATGTGAAAATTTGAGTATATATCCGTGCGCGCCTGTGTGTATATGTGTGCGTGTGTGTCTGAGTGTTTGTGTGTCTGTATGTGTTTGTGCGTGCGTGCGTGCGTGCGCGCGTGTGCGTGTATCGTTGTTCCAGAATTATTTGTCATCGCATTGCAAACCCGCAGCAGGGGAGTCGTTCATTCGATGCGAATGTCGTACGTTTGGATGTTTGCCCTCGCTGTTGGTTTCCATGCTTAGAAACCCATCGCCTTCATTTCCAGCCACGTCAGTTGAACTGTGTTTCGCATGGCTCTTGCCACTGGGAGGAGGAAAAATACCGGAGGGAAAGCCACGCCGTCCCCCCCGCCCCCGTCTCAGCCTTCTTCGTCCTCCTTGGCCACCTTCTTCCTCGTCGTCATCCCTGCGCTCCTGGTCGTTTGCCCCGTCGATGTCCCCCTCTCGCTGTCCTCCTCGTCCTCCTAATCAGTCTTCGGGAAAGGTAAGTTGACGTTATACCGTTATACCTTTCTTCGCCCGCTATGGGAGACCAGGGGACCAGGGCGACACTGCGCAGATGCCCCGCGCCTCGGTTTTCAGGCCGCGATGGCGCGCAATGTTCGCCATGAGGGAAGGGCCCCCGAGGGAAACGGGTCCTGAAGTTTGTCGCCATGTTTGGCTTCCCCTGTGCGAGCCCCGTGACTGTCAGAAAGCAACTCAGGAGGAAGAGCTGGCCTTGGGGGAAGGCCCCAGATTGCAGGACCCGTTTCCCTCAGGATCTAGGCCTCCTAGATGGGATCGGAGTAGAACGGGTCGGAGGATCGCGCCGCATCGCCGATTCATCGCCGATGCGGCCCGATGTGGAGCCCGATTTGCTTCACGTCGATGTCGCCGATGCAGCGCCCACATCGACGATGCATCGGCGATGTATCGCTGATGCATCGCCGATGCACCGGCGATGCAGCGAGGTCCTCGACCCCATCTACTCCGAGGAGCCCTCTACAGGACCCGTTTCCCCTATGCTAAGCTAAGATGTCGATCTGTCCGCCGCTCGTGGTAGAGGGTTCTTCCCCCCGAAGTCGCAGATGTGGATTGTGGCGCGGGCCCTGGGATGCTCGACCCCCTGGCCTGCGGGAGGCCTTGTGTCCTGAGAAGTTGCACCAGAGCGCGAAGATGCTGAAGCGGTGGCTGTTTTGCTCGACGCGACGCCCAGATCTGTGGGCCGTGAAGAGGCATCGGGTACAGGATCGGGGCCAATCGCTCCAGAGCGTTCCAGAACTCTCTCGGAGCATTCCGCGAACGCTCTGAGAAGGACGGGGCGCCCAAGATACATCCCTCGGAACAGCCGGATCTCAGAGATCTTCTACTGATCCCGACGCGATGCTGTCCCATTCTTGGCTTCGTCGTTCGGCGGCGAGCGAGGGGGGGAACGACGGGCCTTCTCGGAAGGCTCGGAAGTTCCCTGGCCTTCTGAGAAGTTTTCCAAGCCTTTAACGAAGATAGACAACAACTCCTCAGAAGGCGCGAGGGGACTTCTGAGCAGTCCCGCCGCCTTCTGAGAAGGCCTTCTCCTTCTCGCTTCCCCCCCTCGCGCGCCGCCGAGAGCGGCCTGATCGGCCGTCCCGTCCTGTGCATCCTGGGCGACCCTTGCTATGATGTCCCAACCTGCTTCGGCCTTGGCCACCAGGAAGGAAGAGTCTCGAGCACCAACCTGTAGGCGATACTCTCCTGGGGCGCTCGAGGCTATTTCTGGGACGTGGTCTCCCTACGTTCGGTGGGAGCAGCAGAAGGCGACCCAGCCGCGCGCCTCGCGCGCCGCGGCCGTCGTCCCGCCCGCGCGCCGCCGCCCCAGGGAAGGCCACCTCTGCTATACTTCGCGAGGCCACGAGGCGCGCGGCGCCGAGCACGCGCGCCGCAGGACGTCTCCTGCAGGAGGAGGCCAGGGGCGCGGTCCTCCTCCTCGATCCTCCTCGCCGCCAGGCCGCATCGTCGTGCAGAGAGTGAGTGGGGGGGGGGCAGGCCGGCGGCCCGCGCTTCTGAGGAGTGGAAGAAACACACAGACACAATTCAGTGTCGATTCCCAGAACGGGGCAGGAAGACAAAAGCCTATAATATATATAAATATATATATATATATATGTGAAAATATGGCGAATCCTTTTATTTGTGTGTGTGCATTCATTTGTGTGTCCCAGGGCCCCTTCAGCTCCGTCTCCCCGAAGCCCCCCTCCCACTCTCCGCGCCAGGCACTTCGGCAGACGGCGCGACCGGCGGCGCCGCCGGAGAGGCCGCCGCCGGGAAGGGGGGGGACGATGGAGGGGCCAGGGCTCCGTCGGGCAGGTCCCTCTGCACGAGGAGCAGCCAGACATGGTTCCAAACTGGTCGGGGGGCGATGTGTCGATGGTGTCGTGACCATTTGGAGGGGGCACTTTGGGACTATGCTTCACTCGCCTTGCAGAATCCGCGTGCAGGAGGACACGCCCGACCTCCGGCCAGGGGGCCGCCTCGCGCGGCAGCGCTGGGGACGCGGGGGGCAGCCGTCGGCGGGGGGCCGTCTGAGCCCTGGCGTCGCCGAGCCACGACTCTGGCAACTCGGTGGTCCGCGCGGATTTCTCGGGTCGGCGCTGGGGCCCCCCCCGGCGGTGCCTCCAGCGCCGCCCCTGGCGCGCTCCGCGCGCCAGGCTGGGGGGGGGTCCAGCGCGGATCCAAGAAGTCCGCGCGGCCCTCCGAGTTTTTATGTTCATGTCATGGCTCGTGCCCCCAAGGGCCCGGCATGCGTCGAGCGCGTGGCGAAATCCGGGCGCCGACCTCCGCCCCCCACGGATTCAGAAGGACCGAGGGCTGGCGTAGGCGGGGTTGTCCTGTCGCAGCCCAAGGGGGTGCCGGGGTGGAGCCGGCTGGGGGTTCTGAGGTGGCCAAGCATAGGTTCCGACCAGCAGGAAGGGGGGGCAGGCTCGAGGTTCTGGCTTCGAGAATTTTGGTGTACTTTTTCGGTCTCCCAGGACCGTTGCGGGACTGTCCAGAAAAGATCCGCGGGGTGAAAAAATGCACTGGACAGACCGCGGGAGGGCTCCGGGAAAATATTTTGGGAACGGATTTGCCCCTGTCCCCTATCCTGACCGATTGTCGTCGTCGTCGTCGTCGTCGTCGTCATTGAGATTGATAGTCTGTTGGTCGTCCTCTCCAGAGCCCGTTCCCAGCGGTGGAGCACTGCTTTTCAATAGCTACTCCAAATCTCACATGAGCCGGGGGGGAGCCAAGAAAGCTTTCGACGGCGACCCCCCCCCAAGAGCGGTGCAACCGCGTCAAACCCTCACCACCCCCCCCATGGGGGACAACACCGGGTCCAGAATCGAGACCCCCCACAATCTTGTCTGACGAGCCGTGGGTCAGGCGATCGCAGACATGGATCAAGAGGGCGTGGATTAGCGACGGGCCCCGTTTCCATTGGAAATCGCGGATTTCCGCCGCCGAACGAGGTGGCACTGGCAGCATTGTGGGGAGGGCACCTCCCCCAATCCATGTTTGTGCGCCCCAGGAAAAAGAGACACCCCCCATGGTCATGAGATCCAGAGCATCCCATGCTCTCGTCTCAACCGTCGTCCTCATCGCATACTGGGCTCCACAGCCCTCCGCGGGGAGTCCCCAGGTGGCGGGAGCCCTTCCCATGTCCTCGTCAGTCGTCATCCTCATCCCATACTGGGCTCCATGGCCCACCGCGGGAGCCCCCCAGGTGGCCGAAGCTCTGCCCCCTGGCGGCTGGCGCCCACTTTGCATCCCATTCTCTCCGCCCACCCTTAGCTCGCCCTCGTCGAAGAGATACAAGCGGCAGACAAATACCCGTACGTGCCCCGCACAAGACGACCAACAGCGGCACAACAACAAAAGTTGACCTGGATATGCTGTGCGACGCTAGAGAGTGATGCCAGCGCCCCAGCGCCACCGCAGGAGGATGGAGCGGGAGCAAGAGCGGGAGGAGGAGGAGGAGGAGGAGGAGGAGGAGGAGGAGGAATAATAGGAGGAGGAGGAAGTGGAGGAGGAACAGGACGAGCAGGAGGAGGAGCAGGAGGAGTAGGAGGAGCAGGAGGAGGAGGAGGAGGAGCAGGAGGCACACGGGGTGCTTGCGGGGCGCAGCTGGATGGCCTTGAGGGTCTCGTGCACGCAGAAGGGTGCAAGATCGGCGTCGAGGTTGTCGAAGGCCACAACGAGATTTGCGATGCGACATCTTGTGGCGCTTCGTCAAGGCCCACATCGACTCTCGTGCAGCGGCGACTCGACAGCTTGCGGGCGCCAGCTCTGGAGGACGCGGCGGCGGACGACGAAGCCGGAGACGTGCTGAACGTAGTCTTCACGTACGACCGCAGGCGCGTGGCCATTGACGTCGCCGTGGTTGGCGCCCGCGCCGTCGCGGCCCGGGTCCGCGCAGCGGCCAGCTGGGACGGGGCCGCGGCGGCGGAGGAAGAGGGGGCCAAGCGGCGACGCCATGCGGGGCTCAACATCTCCCCGCGCGTGCTCGGGCTGGGCGGCCGCCGGGGCGAGAGTGCGCAGGCGACGGTCCGCATGCTTGCCGCGACGGCCGGCGGCAAGTCGCGAGCCTCGGCGTTGGCCGCTGGCCTCGGGCAGCAGGTCAGCATCGCCGTCCAGGCGTCTGTCGCCCGGCGTATCGCGAGCGCTTGTGCCCGCCAGGATTCGCCGGCTCTGGCGAGATCCCGGCGAGGCCTCGCGGCGCGGGCGGCCGGCCCGAGGGCGAGCGCGGCGAAGAGGGCGGAGACGGAGGCTGCCGGGGAGGCCGCGGAGGCGGAGACCTGCAGCAGCAGGGGGCGAGGAGAATGAGGAGGAGGAGGAGGCCAGCCACGAGGCCGGAAACGCCGAGGAGGAGGCGGCGGCGGAGGACGAAGAGCAGGAGGAGAAGAAGGAGTAGGCAGAGCGCCGAAGGCGCGGCGGCGCCGGAGGCCGCCGTCGAGGAGGACGCGGAGGCGGATGAGGACGATGAGGACGATGAGGACGACGAGGACGATGAGGAGGAGGAGGAGGAGGAGGAGGAGGAGGAGCAGGAGCAGGAGGAGGAGCAGGAGGAGGAGCACGAGGAGGAGCAGGAGGAGGAGGAGGAGGCCGAGGCAGCAGAGCCAGCAGAGGAGGAGGAAGGACGACGACGAAGTGCAGGAGGCCAGCGACCAGCCTCAGAAGGCCGAAGCGGCCGAGCTGGCAGAGGAAGAGAAAGAGGAGGAGGAGGAGGAGGAGAAAGAGGAGGAGGAGGAGGAGGAGGAATAATAGGAGGAGGAGGAGCTAGGAGCTAGGAACTAGGAGCTAGGAGCTAGAGCTAGGAGGAGGAGCTAGGAGGAGGAGGAGGAGGAGGAGGAGGAGGAGGAGGAGAGGACGAGGACGAGGACGATGATGATGATGAGGAGGAGGAGGAGGAGGAGGAGGAGGAGGACGAGGACGATGAGAAGGAGGAGGAGGAGGAGAAGGAGGAGGCGACGGAGGACGCTGAGAGGCGCGCGGGGCCGCGCCCTCGTCGGCCGCGTCGGGCGCTCCCGTGGTGCGCCCGCTCTGGGGTCCTCCTCGGGCCCGAGGGCCCCGGGGCATGGGGAACGGAGGAGCAAGAGGAGCAGGAGGGGCCAGAGGAACAAGAGGACCAAGAGGAGGAACAAGAGCAGGAGGAGCAGTAGGAGCAGGAGGAAGAGCAGGAGGAGGAGGAGGATGAAGAAAGAGGAGGAGGAAGAAGAGGAGGGATGAGGAGGGATGAGGAGGAGGAGGAGGACGGGGAGGAGGAGGAGGAGGAGCGGAGGAGGAGGAGGAGGAGGAGGAGGAGGAGGAGGAGGAGGAGGAGGAGGAGGAGTGGCCGTCCTTCTGGGACGACGCAGGCGCAGTCTCTAGTCCCTGCGGGGGAGGCGTGTCTTCTTGGCCGTGGCCGAGGGGAGAAACACCGCAGAGCCGTGCCGAATTGGTTCGGAGTCGACCGCAGCTCGAGCGTCCGTGGTCGAACCCAAACCGTCTACGCGTAACATGTTGCATTGGTTTATGATCGATCGGCGCGGACCCTCGCACCCCCCCTTCCCCCCATGGAGTAGATCTTGGATGTTTTTGTCGCGCGTTTCGAGCAGATGGGGTTTCCCCCAGAGGACGCACGATTCCAAACAGTTGCACTAAGCAGAGGCCCCGAGCCAGACCCCCCTCCCCCCTTCCGCCCAATGTCGAAACGCCGAATAAGAAGACGCTTACCATTGGCATCGGCATGCGTTCCTCAGAGTTCCGCGCGGATTTCTTGGATTTGCGTTAGGCCCCCCTGGCGGTGCATCGGGCGCCGCCCCCGGCGCGCTCCCCTCGCCAGGGGACGGGGGTCCAGCGCCGATGCAAGAACTCCGCGCTGAGCTCTTATTGGAAAGGTTGCAATTCATTGTGCAGATGGTTCTTCCTCCAGTTGTGATCCAATCCTCGCTCGCCATCGGCTGCTTAGTTGTCTGGCCTCGCCTCGCCTCCCCATCGGCCCGCTTCTCTGTGCAGTCGGCGAGAGCAGGACTGGACCCGTCGGTCGTTAAAGAGTAGGTATCTCCAGGCTCCCACATCCCAATCTACTTCAAGCGCCTTCGTTTTTCAACAGTCGATGTTCTTTTGCTGTATTTTGTCAGGACCTGAACCTAACATATGTTGTCCGCCTCCCTATTTCATGCTTTTACTTGTTTCTTCGACCGACGTGTCTGGCATGTTTTTCTCCGCGTTCGGGGACGCTTGTCCCAGGGCGGCTGGAAAGTTCAGTGTGACCGCAGGGGTCATAACTTCCCAGCCGCCGTGGGACAGCCTAGGCGTCCCTGATGGGGTCGGAGTAGATGGGGCCGGAGTATCGCGCCGCAGCGCCGATGCATCGGCGATGCGGCTCGATATAGAGCCCGATTCTCTGCACGCCCGCGTCGGCGATGCATCGTTGACGTCGCCGATGCATCGCCGGTGCACCGCCGATGCATCGGCGATGCGGCGCGATGCTCCGACCCCATCTACTCGGAACCCATCTGGGAGGCTTCCAGACAGGCGCCCCCGATGGTGGAAACACTGAAATTCAGATCCGGGAGGTCAAACCAGGTGTACCAGAGACGCGCCGCCGCACGGCGCCCCCCGGCGTGCTGCTCCTCCGTGCCTGCCCGAGGACCTGGTGCCCGTTCAGCAGTAGCACGCTGATGGCTCCCCAAACGGCAGGCCAGCCACAACTGGGAGAGCTGTGGTCCTTGCCCCCCTGGGGGACCCATCGATTTCGACACCCATCTCGAGAGATCGTCGATGCGATGGGTTCCCCCAGGGAGGTAAGGACCACAGCTCCCTCAGTTATGGCTGGTCGGCACGGCAGCGTGCCACTGCAATTGTTGTGGTCCCCCGGTGTGCCGTTCTGTCGGCGTCGACTAAGCCTGCTCGTGCTACGCGTGCGTCGCCTCAGGAGGGGCGACGCGCGCGCTTTCTCAAACCTTACAGTATGTGCCAAGCGTCGGGCGGTTTCTGGCCGTGCCCCTGGGGCAACGATGTGCTACAAGATTGTCGTGCTCCATGGTCTGGTGTAGGGGAACGAACAATGACATAAACATAAAAACTCGGAGGTCCGCGCGGGGAGCAGAGGTCTGGGGAGCAGAGGCTGCGGCTCGCGGCTGCGGCGGCTGCGGCTCGCAGGGTGTGTGTGTCTGGGCATCATGATTTGGGGACAGACATCAGGCGATCGCAAACATGGATCGATCCCATGTGGGGGGAGGCAGGGGGAGGCAGGGGGGTGCACTGGCACCCTCCACCACGCCGCGCTCACAGGGCTACGACCACAGGGTGGGGGGGGGTGCGATCTCGTTCGCGAGGCCTTCGCGAGGCTCACGGGCGTACCCATCTAGCCATCCACTGGGGGGGGGCTCCTCGATCCCATGTACACTGGAGGGGGGGGCAACCCTGGATCATATATTTGCCCCCCTCTGGGGCACGGGTAATCGCAGAGGGTTTTTATTAGCCCCCCCCTGTTTCTCTCTCAGGCTATCGCAAACATGGATCACAGGGGGCGTGGATCAGCGACGGGTCCCGTTTCCATGGGAAATCGCGGAGTTCCGCCGCTGAGCGAGGTGGCACCGGCCGCATTTGGGGGAGGGCGCCTCCCCCGATCCGTGGAATTGGCGACCGCGCGCCGAATCCATGGATCGCCAATCCATGTTTGCGCGCCCCCGAGGGTCGTCTTCCTGGAACGATTCTTGGCCGATGATCAAGGATATGTGGGCCAGCGGCGTTCGAGACAGCGCGCAACAGTTTGCGGTCGAGCGGGCCAGGTTGCGCCATGTAGCGCAACAGTGAACGGGAGCGAGGTGCAAGGTCCCCCCCGGTCTCGTGTCCCCTCAGGTGCTGACGCATCTGGTTGCCCCCTCCCTCCATCTATCCTGGGAGGAGGAGGAGGAGGAGGAGGAGGAGGAGGAGGAGGAGGAGGAGGAGGACGTTGTCCCCTCCTCGGGGTGGGGCCGACCGAAAGAGGAGGAGGAGGAGGAGGACGAGGAGGAGGAGGAGGACGAGGACGAGGACGAGGAGAATAGAAACGTTGTCCCCTCCTCAGGGTGGGGCCGACGCCTGGTTCTACTGCCAGGAGCCCGGCTGCGGCCGGAGGTTCAACGCCCAGGACGCGCCCGCCGCGGGGGGGCGGCGCGTCTGCCTGGCCAGGGGGCGAGGCGAGGGGAGCAGCGCGGCGGCCTCTGCGCGCGAGGCGGTGCGGCGTCGGCCCCGGCTCGGGCGCTCTTGTTGGAGCGCCGCCAGGGTTCTGTGGAGGACGGTCTCAAGGGAGCGGAGGCGTGTTGCCAAACAGTTCCCAGGTGTCTAAGGAATGGTTTAAGCATGTTTCAAGCGTGTTGAAAGCACGTGCTCTAAACCTGTTCAGGGCATCTTTCAAACATGTGAGACACGTTTGTAGTTCAATGATAGGGTTGTTAGGGTGTCCATCGTCATGGCATCCACAACACCAGTTGAAGAAAGACAAAGTGCGTCAGCATACGGTGGGGGCCCATGCCAAGAAACACCCTGCTTGCCTCCAGGGTGCCCCGGGGTTCTCGGGTGTCGATGGTTCTGCCATGGGAGGCGTGACGCTCCCGCGCCAAAAGTCGATGAACGTCCTGGGGTCTCAGGGTTGGGTTTCTTGTGGAAGGTTTCTTGTGGTCGGGCCCCTACTGCACATTTCTCGAAGCTCCGCGCGGAGTTCTTGGATCTGTGCTGGGCCCCCCTGGCGGCGCCTCCTGCGCCGTCCCGGGCGCGGGGCTCTAGCCGGTTGCCCCGATTTGGCCAGTGTCGAATGGTCCGCGTTGTTTGGAAGCCGCGGACGCTCGTTGGAACGTCACGGGAGGCCTCTCGGGAGCCTTTTGCAGACCGTTTTAAGGCCTCTCGGGGGCCGTTTGGGGGCCTCTTGGCGCGTCTTCGGGGCCTCGTGAGGATTTTTTGGAACCTCTCGGGGGCCTCTTGGGGCTTCCTGGCGGCCTCTCGGGGCGAACGACTCGGATTTTCGGGTGCTTCTTGGGGGCGTCTTTGGGTCTTGCCGTCATGGAGCCCTCTTGGGCAGTGTTGGGAACCTCCTGGGGGCTCTCGGGCCGTCTTGGGGCCGTCATGGGGGCCTCTTGGGCCGCCTTGGAGCGTCGGGAGCTTGGAACGTCGAGGACTCCAAAACCATTGAAAACCTATGGGGAAGCAATGATTGTGGCCTCTCGGGGCCCTCTTGGGAAGGCTCTTGGGGCTCTCTTGGAGCATCTTGGAGGCCTCTTGGGCCGTCTCGGGAGTAACGTCTTGGAACGAATGTTGGCCATCTCGAGGCCCTCCTGGACCATCTTGGGGGTCTCGTGGGGCCCTTATGGGCCGTCTTGGGGCCCCTGTGGGCCCGAAAAAGTCACGCTGGAAGCCGGGGGGGAGCCCAGGGGAGCCGCGACAAGCTCAGGCAGATTTAGCAATTTGGGCTCTGGGCCCTTCAAGGAACCTCAGGATCGACGATTTGGGATCAGGGGACAAGGCGCAGGACCTGAGGACACTCCAACTCGTGCCTCAGGGCACGGTGGCGCATACGAGGGGAGGTCCAGGGGAGGGATTTGGGATGCAAAGGCAGAGAAGAGGGGACGGATATCGAAGAAGAAGCATCTGCATTCGTAAGACGTGTGAAGGTCCGCGCGGGTGTCTTGGATCTGCGCCAGACCCCCCCTGGCGGTCTTTTTTGGTGCCGTCCTTGGCGAGCTCAGCGCGCCAGGGGCGGGTCAGCGCTCAGAGCCGATCCGCGGACATTCGAAAGAGTATGTTTATGTCGATTCGCATTACTACTCGCATTGTCTTGGCATCGCTCGGACGCGTGTTTTTTTCCCCCGCTGGGACCATCGAGGAGCATCCTGGGTCATCTGGCAAACAGAGCGCGCACGAAGCCGAAAAGTGCACGGGGAATGGACGTCCGAGCGATGGCAAGTTGTAATTGCTAGCACTCCTCTCTTGTGTAGCCTGGCGAAGAGAACTGCGCACGCAGACCGGTCCCGTGCCAGACCCATCTCGTGCCTGGGTCTGCGCTCAGCGCCGATCCGCGAACCTTCAAAAGAGTATGCTTGTGTCGCTACGCATTGCCATTCGCATTGACAGTGTTTGTGTTCCTCCTTTTGGTCGGGCGAAGAGAACTACGCTTAAGTCGGGCCTGTCCATCTACAAGAGGACAATTCGAAAATAGTTAAAAATAGTATGGGGACGTTTGTTTTAGTATTTCTGCGCATGTTTTTGTGCATGTTTGGTTATTTCTGATTTTTCGTACAAAATTCACCTGTAGGAGGACATGCCCGACCTAAAACCACGCACGTGCAGCGGTCTGGGCCAGGCTCACTCCCGTGCCCAGGCCCGGTGTACAAGTGCCTGCCTCGCCGGAAGACAGCGGGGCGTGTCTTGGGCCCCGGCCCAGGAGTGGCCCCGCCGCGACCCGTGTACAGTGCCGTTTTTTATACGTGCTCCGCGTGCGGATCATGTATCAAAAATGCAGGGAGTAAGCATTAAAAACAACGATGAGTTCATGCTTAAATTGATTCATAAATTAATCATGCACTAAAGATCTTATATTTTTGAAAATACTATGTATTAAAACCTGCCCTGTATGTGCATAGGACTCTTGCGTAGGTCTCGGCATTGGCGACCCAGGTGGAGGCAGGGAATCTGGGCCTCCTAGATCGGGTCGGAGCGGATGGAGGCGGAGGATCGCCGATGCACCGCCGATGCATCGCCGATGCGGCTCGGTGTGCAGCCCGATTTGCTTCTCGTCGACGATGCCGATGCATCGCCGGTGCATCGCCGATGCAACGCCGATGCAACGCCGATGTATCAGCGATGCGGCGCGATCCTCCGACCCCGTCTACGCCCACCCCATCCAGGAGGCCTCCAGGGAAGCAGACGCAGAGGACCCTGGAGGCGGACGATGGTCCAGACGGCCAGAGGCGGCGCGCCCTCACCAAGCCGGGCCTCGCCTCGGACCTCGTCGAGGGCCGCGCGGGCAGGGCCTCGCAGGAAGGCGTCGGGCTCCCCGGAGAGCCGTGGGGATGCTCCATCCCAGGCGGGGAGTTATCCGTCACCACCTCCCGGGGATCGATCTTCGGGGACCTCGGCAGGCGGCGAACATGTCTTTACGATCCCGAGTCGAGCGAGTCGAGGCTTCAGAGGCCCTCCCCCAGATGGGATGGGTCCCCTGGTTCCACAGGCCCCCCCTCTCAGATGGGATGGGGGACGCCGACGCCGACGACGCCGCCGCCGCCGACGACGACGCCGACGCCGTCGCTGACGCCGACGCCAACGCCGTCGCCGACGTCGACGCCGACGGACCACGACGACGACGACGACGCCGACGACGACACCGACGACGACGACGACGACGACGACGACGACGGCATCGACGACGACGGCATCGACGACGACGGCGACGACGACGACGGACCACACAGCACCCACAGGAGGAGGCAGGGGGGTGCACCGGCACCCTCCACCACGCCGCGCCCACAGGGCTACGACCACAGGGTGGGGGTTGCGGTTTTTGTTCGCGAGGCCTTCGCGAGGCTCACGGGCGTACGCATCTAGCCATCCACTGGGGGAAGGGCTCGATCCCATATGCATTGGGGGGGCAACCCTGGATCATATAGTTATTTGCCCCCCCAGAGGGCTCTTATTAGTCCCCCCCCTGTTTCTCTCTCAGGCGATCGCAAACATGGATTAAGTGGGCGTAGATTAGCGACGGGTCCCGTTTCCATGGGAAATCGCGGATCCGCCGCCGAGCGAGGCGGCACTGGCCGCATTTTGGGGAGGGTACCTCACTGGATCCATGGATTTGGCGACCGCGCGCCAAATCCATGGATCGCTAATCCATGTTTGCGCGCCCCCGACTCTCGGGGAAACAAACTCACCCCTCCTCCTCCTTCTCCTTCTCCGCCCCTCCTCCTCCTCCTGCTCCACCTCCTCCTCTTTCTCATTGTGTTGGTTGGCTTGCCACCGCAATTGCGCATGATCCTTGCCACGCGTGCTCCTTGTCTGGACACTTCCATCGTTCTCGCTTCACCGATTCACGTGCATGCCGACTCGCATTGCCATATGCAACCTTTTTTGGCTCAAAGCTGTGCTGGTGCCTGTTCTTCAGCACCAGCCAGCCACTCAGACCAGACTATTAGATACCTTGTCTCGTTCGTATGGTGGGCGGGAGTGAAGCAGGGGCGAGGGTAAGCAGGCCAATACGTCGCGTTTTGAATGACGCAGTTATGTTTACAGTACATACGTTTACCACGTGAATTGGGATGTGCTGTGAAGACCGCGGCGTACTGGGATTAAAGGTCCCAACTAAATGTGCCAATCTATTGTCGTTTCATAGCTTACGGGGAGTTGGCGGAATTTGGTGGACGTCAGAAGCCGGCAGAAAAGAATAGCAAGTATGATATTGTATGTAATGTTCAGTCGTACGCTGGAGTATCCATTACAGTTCTGCGTTTTTATATGGCATTGGGCCTCAAAAGGTGGATGCTCTTACCACCGTGGGCTGTGCAACTCCTACCCGTTGGCCTGCAGCATCCCGCCAGCCCAGCAAGGTCTTCCGATCTGCCCGTTGCCTCTGAAGTAGAGAGGTTGAGGTATAGAAGTAAGTCATGTGTTTCTTCGTGTAGACGTCGTTACCGTCGAGGCGCAAGACCAGACGGCTAGACGCAATGTCTATACGTCACAGTATTGCCCAGAGGAAAATACAACGTATGTCAACGTTTTGCGTATTTCTTCGAACCAAATGGTTGACGTGTCGCGTATTCCAGATCCGAGGTGAGTAGTCAAACGATACATGTGCATAAGCATACCATGAATGAAAGAGGCCGAAACAGTGGAACTTGGAGATCCCATGGAGCCTCTTGTTCTCAGGGAGCCATCTGGGAACTCTCTTGAAGCCCCTCTGGAAGCCTTTGAGTCTCCCGTCGGGCTCTTTTGAAGCTCTGTGGGGAGTCTTGGACGCCCTCTTGGATCCGTCCTGGACGCCACCAAGGCCTGTGGACATAACATGGAGCGGCACACAATTTCGCATCGCCCCGCCGGAGACCCAATCATCACTTGTTGGAGCCCTCTTGGAGCGCGCTTGGGGCCTTGGGGCTCAGGGACAACGATAGCGGGGGATAGGCACAGGGGGGGGATGCATCGATCACCAATCGTCCACTCGTCGC